TGACTGCTCAAAGATCATGCACTCTAGTGACTTTACAAATGCACTGTAAATATCTCTTTCCCAGCTGTCACATTGCTCTAAGTTGCCGATGTGGTGTCGCCCTCTGGGAGCGGTAAAGGGAAGTAATATATAGTAAACTTGATTGATATGTGGGGTTTAACGTCCCAAAACCAGTATATGATTATGAGAGACGCCGTAGTGGAGGGCTCCGGCAATTTCGACCACCTGGGGTTTTTTAACGTGCACCAAAATCTGAGCATACGGGCCTACAACATTTCCGCCTCCATCGGAAATGCAGCCGCCACAGCCGGGATTTAAACCCGCGACCTGCGGGTCACCAGCCGAGTGCCTTAGCCACTAGACCACCACGGCGGGGCATATATAGTAAACTTCAGTAGAGTGGCTTGTTGGACGAGTTGGTTCATTCTTACAATATCACGTTTCATGCCACCGAGGTAGATTACTTTAGCGCAAGCCACTAATTGAGTGCTTGTTTGCTAATGTGAATTGTGACTTGTGACTTTGTTCACGTGTATACAGGGCGTCCTACGTAATTTGAGCCAAAGTTTAAAAGTATGCCGAAACACGTAATTACGACGTGACCAAACGCATGTTGCTCACCATTGCCTGGAGTAAGACTATTTTTTGTGTTCTCAAATATTGTTTAACCAGATAAGTTTAATTAACTAACTTTGCAAGAAACAAAAAACTGCTAAAAATTTCTTTGAGCAAGTTGCAGATGGGTTTGTAAAACGTCCGATTAGATAATTTCGAACTTTATATCTGTTAGGCATTAGGGTTTTTCTGTTAATTATAACTGCCCGCAAAATATAAAGAATACCACGTGACAAGCCCGCTCGTGCGCCAGAGTGCACAATGATTCTAGTGCTCCGTAATGTTCCGCGTACGAACGACCATAGCATTTGCCTCATTGTGCTGTCTCGGCAGGGCCGCAACGATGGTTGTGGCTTTACAATGAACACGTTTCGCTATCGGCCACGAAAACAATAACCGTTGTGACTGCTTATCGCTGCCATGAACCTGTGCGAGGGAAGCGTTTCGTTCGCGCGCGGAACGTTAGGGAGCACTAGAATCACTGTGCGCACTTACGCGCAAGTGGGTTTGTCACGTGGTATTTTTTCTATTTCGTAGGCATTCGCTATTAGCAGAAAAACACTAATACCTAACAGATATAAAGTTTAAAACTGTCTAATCAGACGTTTTCCAAACCAAGTCTACAACTTTCTCATTCAAATTTCTTTATCTTCGTTTCCTAAACAGTTAGGATAATTAAACCTATCTAATTAAACAAATTTGAGAACACAAAAAATATTCTTACTACATCCAGACAATGGTGAGTAACATGCATTTGGTCGCGTCGTAATTACGTGTCCGGCAGCATATTTTTAACTCCAGTTCAAGTAACGTGGGACACCCTGTATATGTGTGTGCTTTTAGAATAAAGTCAGTTGATAGTTTGCGCTGTGTTTGTGTAGTCCATCTCATCTTCGTTCTCTTTTTTGGCTCTAAATCTACTGTAAATGCATAATGACAGTAGGCCTCTGCGATTAGCTACGGCAGCATGTCGCTGCTACGTGTCCACAGTGAAGTTTTGTCAATTCTTCAAGGGAACAGAGTAAGCCCTATAACCGTCACGTATTTTCGGTGAAGGTTATGTACCTTTTTCTCCATAATAATAAGAACTATCGTAATTATCTCACTATCGCTGATTTCGAATCATTCCTCTTGATACTGAGGCGGATTTGCTTGAGGGTATTAGGGCGAAGGTGGGTTGGTCTCCCAGTTCAGGGCCCCACTGGCCTTTGCGGCTTGCTGGGTCTGATCGATCAAAGCGACTAGGCTATTTCAATCCTTGCTCGCAGGCCAGACCTCCCACTGCCTCTCAAACGGGTTTTTCCCTAATAAGGGTGAATTATTTCAGATGGCCAGAGTCTACACGTCCACGTTATGTGGGTAAGAAATGGCCGCTCCCACACCACGGTCCGGGTACTGCGTTGGTTGGATTTTGTTGAGGATTAGTTGATTGGGTCACGTGTTTGTTCGTAACCAGCGCCTGTTCCTACTGGCCGATATAGCTTAGGGTTCGCTGGGCTCAGTTTTTGCCTTTATTTGTGTCTCAAGGGTGTCGTGCGGGTTGACTGCGGGTGCTTGGAGAGTCGCTATTGGTACACAGCTACTCATTCTATGAGCTATACCGCCGGCCCTATCATTACTCGTCAGCCCTGCGTGTGCTGGACACCAAATAACAGCGTGATATTGTTCAAAGTGTGTTCATAAGATTTTAGCTGCATTTTTTATAGAACTCTGGTAAGGGTATTGACGGCATGATGACGGCGAGTCCGAGGTAACTAGGGCGTCTTGGTACTTGTCTTCGGCATCTCTCATGACCAATGCTATGGCTGCCGACTCTACCATGATAACTCAGGCAATTCGTACGGTTACTGCGATTGTAATAGATTGATTTGTCGTCACGACAGTGTATTTGTCTCTGGCTATTTCGCACGCGTCTGTGTAGTGCACGTCTCGATGGTGTCCGAACTGCCTTTGCAGAGCTCTGACCCTGGCCTCTCGTCTGCCCTTATGTTTTTGGAAATGGGAGAAGTTATGTGTTCTCTGACCTCGTGAGTTAGAAGATGTGTGTTACCCGCAATATTGTCGCCTTAAGGGGTACCCTAGATTCTGTAGTAATACTATGTCCTACTCTGTTTAGTTGAGCCGTTCTCACTGCGCGAAGATAACTGACGTTGCGTGCTCTGCAAATGTGCCATGGATGCACAGGTCTTCATGCTTTGAAGTGTTTGTATTGTGTGACAGTCCTAGGGCTGTTTTGTGCGCCGTGCCTATAGAATATAAGGGTTTATTTCGGACAAAGTAACAGACAGCAAGAAATATGTTCATGAGGCAAGGCAAAAGGAGACCCATACGTCTCCTGGCGAGGCCTTCACCCCGGACTCGCACGTCGGACAGCCAGGAGCAAAAGCACAGAAAATAAGTACAATGCTCATTGCACAGCTTATATAAACAAAAATGAACAAAAAACATGAGGATAAAAATTATTCACAGATTACATTGTTTGGGTTTAACAAATATACAAATTTATACAAATATACAAAACTACATAATTTTCCGGTTCATTGTAAAACACTTCTATATTTGAAGGAGGCTGGAACAGTTGCTTTACTTATTTTTTTTTAAACATGCCATGCTTGAGTTTTATTGGTAAATTCGATCAAGGATGGGCATGCATATAACAATGAAATAATCTGATAATCTATAGCTTTAGTACCGTAATCATTCCTTCGTCCTGATCCTGTTAATGAAAAAGTGCGAATGTTATATGCCAGTTCTCTATTTAGATATTTGTTTTAGAACATGGTTCGATCATGTTTCAATTCACGGAAAATTATCGTTGTAAAAAAAGACTCGTATAGTTTGGAGAACACCGACAATACTTTTTATAAAGAGTCGGTTGATGGGGGATGATGGGAACAAATCATTTTTAAGCTTCTTTTTTGTAAAGAGGAAACACGTTCGCCATTAGTCTTGTTGCACGTACCCCAGACAACGGTGACGATATGTTAGGTGAGAATGAACAAAAGCGAATTATAATTGTTTTCTCACGCGCAATGGCAATAAATGTTTAGCCTGCATAACATATTAGAGATCTCGATAGTTTAGCACGAACATGGTTTGTGCGCTCAGACCAGCTAAGGTCAAACCTAAAAACGACTTCCAAGAACCAGCAACAGCTGACGGGATTGATTGATTGATATGTGGGGTTTAACGTCCCGAAACCACCATACGATTACGAGAGACGCCGTAGTGGAGGGCTCCGCAAATTTAGACCACCTGGGGTTCTTTAACGTGCACCCAAATCTGAGCACACGGGCCTCCAACATTTCCGCCTCCATCGTAATTGCAACCACCTGCAGCCGGGATACGAACCCACGACCTGCGGGTCAGCAGCCGAGCACCTTAGCCACTAGACCACCGCGGTGGGGCAACAGTTGACGGGCGTTAATATATTTTTGTTGAGGCGTTTGCCTTGTGGGTCTCTGTTTGATAGTTTCCGGAACTGGGAGGCCACTAAGTCACGAGACCTATGACGAAAACCTGCCCTTGCCTGTTCGTTTCTTCATCTGTGAAACCTTTCTTATTTCTGATGACTCGGTAGATCATGCACGCTGCGCTTGTCGTGGTTTTCCTCTGTTTGGCCAAGGTGTGATCGACCTTGCCATCGTCCTGAATCCACAGACCAGATATACGCACCGTTTTCACTTCTATGATAGGCCTGTCCTTTAGGTGTAATTCTATGTGTGGTCATTGCTGCTTTCTTAAATATTGGGCCCGGCTCCGTATAAACTCAGACTTTTCGTGTGAACATTGCATTCCTTGCTTCTGCGGCACGTGAAGGAAAGATTCCAAAGATTTTTCTGGCTATCGGATTCGTGAGGCAATAAGCTATTTTTGTGAATCCATTCAGCGGCTGGTTGTAAATGTGTTGTAGGACCCCTTAATAATGTTTTAGAGCAAGGCTCTCGAACTCGCCGTAGGCAGGGGGCCACAGTCACGCAGTGTAGTTCCGCAAGGCACGAGGCGGAGGAGAATGCAGGGAGGAGTCCGGGGCTTGTACGAATTTTCAGCAAACTTTGCATTTGAAAGAAAACGTTTTCTACATCTGTTACACCGGTTACTTCCCACAGCGATTTGCTAAGGAGATTTCAACACATCGATCCTCGTCTTCAAAATGACTAAAACCCGGACGCGCAATCTGCAATAAGTGCCTCATGAGAACAGCTCTTTACACTATTCGTGCTTGCGTAAGTCGTGACCGTACTTAGTAAGCAAATTGACAAAAATGTCGGTGAAGACATTCATGCGCGAGTCATGGGCCGCAAGCGTTTCAGATCGCTGCTGTGTACAATACGCACGAACAACCACGGTTGGTTTTGCTTCACTATTTCTTTTGTTCCCCACAGACTGCATATTCCAGAAGTCAGTAGAGGGAGAGTACACATTCGTCTCGACGGGCAGCGACGCAGTGTGTGCCCTGTACGTCATCGCAGACCCTGAGTACGTGGTAGAGTTCGAGACACTGCGCTTCGACGTCAGCTGCACCAAGGGAGGCCTACTCACGGTGAGCCCCGTTGCTTGACAAGGCACGCAGGCGCGGTAGCAGGATGCTGTGCACCTTCTCTTTTCTGTGCTTCATGCATTCCCTGTAGTGCCCATTCCCATAGAAGAGAAGCCTAATCGAAACCTGACGCAGGCATGGAGCGGTCACTTTCAAAAGCAAGCTCTAGCTTTGATCATAGTCGAGTTTTTCGACAGCCAGGGGCCTGTTTGCACCGTGTAGCGTGAGTGAGCCGATTGTGATCAAGAAAATGAATTCCGATCGGGTCTCATAAAGTCCGATTGTGCAGTGCGAGAAAACCATGGTTCACCGTTCAGGTTCTCTACACATGGTCTCCGCAGTGGTGACAAGAGGTTATCCGTGAATTCGATACGGTTCAGTGTGTTAGCCGGGGTCGTACTGGCTTTGCTAAACGTTCACTTCCTTCTATTTATTATCTCCTACCCCCTTTCTTTGTCACAAGTGCAGGACAGCCAACTAGAGACCGGTTATTACCATGAATAGAGACCGGTTCTGCTTAATAAGTCTTGATGTGTTATTTCTCTATCTCTCTTGCCCACACTTTCTCGAAAAGAGCAGAAATGACACAAAACACGTCTTGCACATTTCTCCTTGTACACATCTAAAGTTCAAGGAACTATACCGTGGCAGTGCTCGGGAGCCCGTTATCTACTATTTATATTCCGCATAAACGAAAGAAAAATTATGCCCTAAAAATTCAGGGTACATTTAGCGTTTTTATTTCACTTTTGTGGCATGAAATAATTGTATATGACAATTCTACAAGATTTATTTGAATACCTATTGTTTTTTTTTACTCTACATGTAGTCGTCGTACGTAAGCAAGATACCAGAGAGGCTACAGGGTTATTTGTGTATTCCAATTCTTAGTCACTCACAGCAATACTGTTTGCTTCGCATCTTCAAAAAACGAATCTTGAACCGCAACTGCTGAGTTGGCCTCAATTAGAGTATTGCTTTCAGAATTTTCCTTTCTGCGAGTGTAACGAGTGCAAATGACCGAAAGTGCCTCTTTTTATTGCGATAGCATCCATATAGACAGTCTCGGCTGATTTTTGCCGTCGTCGACACCACTGTCGTTCACGTCTATATATTATATATATATATATATATATATATATTATATATATATATATATATATATAGTTATAAACTTCGAGGATAGGCAGTAGAGGAAACAAAACAATAAATATCTTAATTTAATCCTAACAGTTCGGCTGGTGTACCAGCCTTCTTCGGAGGATGTAATGTGATCATTCACTTACATCCTCCGAAGAAGGCTGGTCCACCAGCCGAAACTGTGTAGGATTAAAGAAATATTTATTGTTTTGTTTCCTATACTGGCACTATTCTCGAAGTTTATAACTTTTATTACGGTAGCCGGAAGAAACTCTGATCATCTATTCTCATCTCTTCTCTCTCTCCTCTCTCTCTTCGTATATATATATATATATATATATATATATATATATATATATATATAGCGAAACATGAAAAATACAAAAAACAAGCCCTGGCTCGTTTTTTCTTTTGTTTCCGTGGCTCGTGTATTCATGTTTTTGGTGGCTCGCTTTTTCGTGTTTTATTCCGCCCGGGCTCATCTGCGCACGCTTATATCGCCAGTGAACAAGGTGAAAAGGGGGGGGGGGGGCTTAGGGCATCTGCACTATCCCGGCAACGATCAGCGCGCATCTAGTACGCCCACAGCAGGCGGGAGCTTGTACAGGCTGCATTCTGAACAGACACACACACACACACACACACACACACACACACACACACACACACACACACACACACACGCACACGCACACGCACACGCACACGCACACACACACACGGTGCCAAAAGTTTACCGGAAGTGGCCGTATTTTTTCCTTCACCTGTGTTTTGTAGAGTTACGTGAGATTGAATTTAAATGAGTGGACTGCCGGCCTCGCTTCGTACAGCTGCATCTTCCATATACTTACCTACGGAGCAGAAACCTGGATGCCTACAAAGAGTGTTCAGCTTTAACTGAGGATGATGCAGTGAGCGATGGAAAGAAAAATTATAGGTGTAACCTTAAGAGACAGAAGAGGACAGAGTGGGTCAGGAAACAAACTGGGGTTGAGGATATCATAGTTGAAATCAAGCAGAGAAAATGGACATGGGCCGCGCACCGTTGCACGTAGGCAGGATAACCGGGGGTCATTAAGGCTAACTGACTGCATTCCCAGAGAAGGCAAAGGCACGAAGGGGGGACAGAAAGTTAGGTGGGCCGATGAGATAAAAAAAAACTTGCAGTTATAGCGTGGCAACGGAAATCACGAGACCGGTTTGATTGGAGGATCATGGGAGAGGCTTTCACCCTGCAGTTGGCGTAGTAAGGCTGATGATGATTATTACAACTTGGGTAGAAAACTTAAACCGCCTGGTAAGGTTCTGATATAATCACACGTGTACCATGTGTGAGAGACGTATTAACGCAACAAAATGATTTTAAAAATATTTTCGGTAGTGCGGTTTTTAGTTCATGAAAAAAAAGTGGGATGGGTACGCTATAAAAATAGGCGTGCAAGATATCCATGCGGTGAGAAGACCATGTAACAGACAAAAGAAGAATGAGGATGAGAAACAGACACCTTACAAATAGAAAACAATACACCACCTCCCCCTAAAAGGAATCATGTGTCGATGCGAAACAACGGGGAGATGGTGAACGACACCTAGAGAAACTCGTCTATGTCACGTTAAGACGGTGCACCGCCATTCAGAACATCTGCCTGACTAACGCCAGAGACGTTGAACGTGATTGCGTGCGAAACAAAGCAGACGAGTTTCGTCTCACGAATACGTGGAACGCGTTTGAATGGGGAGCGTATGACAAGAGAAGTTTAGGAGAGAAGAGAGAGGAGGAGAAGGGAGGTGCGCCTGCGTGGTGGAGGTGTGGACGCGGCACTGCTAAAGAAGCGTTTCGTTGCCTTCGCTGGCGACTTGGGAGAGAGAGTGAGGGGACGTGCATGCGCAGTAAGCGTGGTCACGCCCCACACCGGATTGAACTCCGCCATAAGCTGCTTCGTATCTAAAATTGAAGTAGCTCTTGTCTTAGGGAAATTTGTCCACTTGGTGGACACTGATGAAACAGCGGAGCAGGTAGCTTAAGAAGAAGCCTTCGCTAAGCCAGTCATTTTAGCTGGTTGAGTGGGGTAGGAATGAAGTTACATGAGCAGAGCGAATGACGTGGGTGGAGTGGCGGGAGTGTTATAGGGCGTTGAGGGGAGTCATGGAAGTAATGAAAAGAGGGCGTAGTCTGGAGTGGTACATATCCGTAATAGATTTACCCACTTTATATAGCACACAGTGCATATCCGGAATAGATTTAGCCTTTTTCTATGGCACACAACTGTTTACGATCTACGACGACGCCGGACATGACAGGGCAACTAAGAACATCTTCGTTGATAAAAAAGAGACCCCCCCCCCCAAAAAAAAAAATAAGGAGGGAGACAGCCGTTAGCACTTTTACGCCTGTGAAGAGAAGGGGTGGGGAAGAGCGGAGAGAAATGTCAGTCGTGTTCTGCAAGTTAATGGTTAAGATATTCGCCTGCATAGAGTAGTCGTTGCTTCACACACTTAGCCAAGCCCTCCTCACTTGGCAGCCAAATCTGTAAAAAAACAAAAGTGGTAGTGGCACAAATGTGTACTGACTGGATGAAATGAAAATAGGCTTCATTCGTATCTCGTAACGTAAAAGAAACGAGAAAATACGAACTCTATGTTGCACCCAGCGACAGCATAGTACGTTTTTAACGTCAAAAAAAAAAAAACCGTACAAAAACTAACTTTATATTGCACACGACGGCTGCTGAGGCTAGCCACTAGGAAAAAAACACCAGGGGAGGATCATTTCGCATGGCTCACTAAGCGACATCTGTGCTATCTGGCCCCCGCAGGTGTTTGATGGCTGGGAGAACAACGGCGAGTATTTTCCGAGCCAGGAAGACCACCCGAAGTCGATGGACCAGCGGTTCTCGGAGTTCTGCGGACCCATCAAGCCCTGGAAGCCATTCGTCACGTCGCAGAACGTCGGAATAGTGCTCTTCAGGGTGCCCACACGTGGGAACTACTTCTCCGTCCTCGTATCGTTTAGGAAAAACCCAAAGCGTGAGTGGCTCGAGTACATCTATGCGGAGAAAATATACTAATGAAGATAGTGAAACGTAGTATCGCAAAAGCGTCACAAAATGTTCTACTTATAGTACAAGATGGATACAAACTACGCATTTAGTGCGCAACTGGTTTCATAATGTATGTGAATTTGAATCTTCGCTCTGTACTCTCAAGTTGCAACTTTTGCAAGAGAAACCAAAACAATCCCATGAAAGTTATACTTTTCGTTCTCTATAACGCATAATGACGAAAAAATTAAATGGACAAAGTTCATGTCTTAATATCGGTCAGCCCTCTTTAAACAATGGCTGCCTAATTCTGGTGCTTATGTGTACTGAAAGTTACGATTTACAATAGGGTTCGTAAGTTGAATAAAAGAAACAGAACATGAGGTGTTGCTACGATTGAAAAAAAAAATGGCCACATATCCACGGGGTGAATGATGGAGAGTGGGGCGAAGCATCCACCCGTCCATTCGTTCTTGCTTCCGTCCTGTCAATGCATGCGTTTGTGTGACCGTCCATGCGTACATCCGCCCGTCTTGTGCGTGCGTCTGTTCCGTGTGTCCGCACTTCCATCCGTGCGTCCAGTCCCTGCGTCCATCCATGCGTCCATTCGTTCGTGCAGGCATCCATGCGTCCGTCCATGCATCTGTGTGTGTCCGTTCGTCTATCTAGTCAACACTCCAAGTACCACCATCTGCACATCTTTTCATCATATATGCGTCCATCCGCCCGTCCAGTGCGTGCGCCTGTTCAGTGCGTCCGCACATCCATCCGTGCATCCGTCCCTGCGTTCGTCCATGCATCTGCACCTGCGTCCGCTCATGCGTACATCCATCCATGCAGCCATCCATGCATCCGTCCATGCATCTGTCTGTGTGTCCGTTCGTCGATCTAGTCAAAACTCCAAGTACCACCATCTCGCATGTTTTCATAATATATTTCGCATATAGAAGCACCGCCATCCAACGGACATTCCAAGGCCTAAACTGAGAGGTGGCACACGCACACTTTCTTACGGCTTGCGCTTCGTGTCTACTTCCCACCTTTAACCATCTCGAGTTCATGGTATATACTAGTTCACTGTATTCCTGGCACTGCGGCCCAACGCTCGCTAAACCTTTCTAAAACCAAGGACGTTACGCCCAGCGAGTATAACCTAGCAATCCTTTCTTGTAAGATAGGGCTCAATGTACATGCCAATGGCTGCTAATTGGGAATGAGAGAGTGGAGAATTCGTCTTTTAGTGAACGCGCACGCTGCGAATTTTGTATTGTTCAACAACGCCCAGGAGAAATATCCCACCGGCACCACCTTGCAGGTCAAAGCGTAAAACTGGTTACGCACTAGGACTACGATGAGGGACGAACGGGTGCAGCTTAAGGAGCTTCACCCCTAAAAGTGCGCACAAGGGGGAAAGCAAAAAAGAGCACGAGCATCTGTCACTGTTTCCTACTTTGGCTCTTCCCAAACACCAGGAGTCCCTTTATACTCAGCTACATTTAAATATATACTTTGTGATTCGTGGCCACAGTAGTTATAATAAAAGTAAAAAAAAACATGTCAGACTCTTCATTTTAGGAATTGTTATAACACGAAATTGAAACGTGTTTTTACCGACGTCAAGCGTTTATTGTGCGTTGTTTCGACACAAGGGGGAAGAAATGAACGCTACAACCATTGATTTTGAGGTCACAGAAAAAATGGCAAACAGCTGAGAACTTACAGCGTGTTGCTCAAGCAGAAAGCACGCAACGAGAGAGAGAGAGAATAAAATGAGGGAAAGGCAGGGAGGTTAACCAGAAAATGGAGCATCCGGTTTGCTACCCTGCACTAGGGGAAGGGGGAATGGGGAAGAAAGATGGAAAAGAAAGTGGAGAGGAAAATAGATGCGCGCAAAAAAAGAGGGAAGGGGGCTGGGGTACTATAGTCCATACAATAGGCCACTGCCACACAAAAAGTTCAATAAGGCCTTCACTGATTTTCTGTGAGCACACAAATCATGTCGCCTCTCAAGCACTGATTGTTCAGACAAAGGTCTGTCGTCAAGGCGAGCTAAAGCAGCAGCTAGTTGCCGTCTTTGCACGCTGTAACGAGGGCAGTGACAGAGAAAGTGCTATATAGTTTCATCGCTGCCGCAATGACCACAAGCAGCACTGTCTTCCACGCCGATTCGGAAGGCGAAAGCTTTGGTGAAGGCGACACCAAGCCATAGTCGGCAAAGCACTGTTGTCTCGAGTCGAGAGAGTCCAGACGGAGGCTGGAGTCGATGAGACGTGTCCAGTCTATGCAGTCGCGTGTGCCGTAAGCACTCGGCGTTCCACAAGAATTTCAATTCTGCATTGGCGATTTTTCGGATTGTCATTGCAGCATCAGTCCTTGAAAATGGTATAAATTCTTCTTCCCCATCTTTGTGAGCTGATCGGGCAGCTGCATCGGCATGTTCGTTGCCCAATATGCCGCAGTGACTTGGAAGCCACTGAAACGTGATTCTGTGTCCTTCGTCGAAGAGGTCTGAAGCAGCTCTCCAATTTCCAGCACTAGTTGTTAATGAGGTCCCCGGCGTAAGGCGAATATCAAACACTGTAGTGCTGCCTTAGAGTCTGTGAACACGCTCTATTTCTTGGCTTCTTGGTGTTTAATGACTTTAACTGCGCTACGTAGAGCAGCAAGTTCCGCAGCTGTCGACTGATGTCTGGTGGGATAACCGAAACTTCACCGTTGTCGCCTGTTGCAGGAAAGATCACCGACCCTGCAGACCCATCCACTTTAGTTGAAGCGTCAGTATATAGATGAGTATGCTCACTGCACTTCTCATATAACAAGAGAAGAGAAAGCTGCTTTAGCGCTGGGGACGAGAGCCGGGCTTTTGACCCTATGCCTGGAACCGTGAGTTCAACATGTGCATCAGCCATACTCCATAGGGGAGTTGAAATTCGGGATGGAGTTGTATATCCCGTAGGAATGCGTGTGCGATATGACAAGACTGCCTGGCCAAATGAGGCACGAGGTCGGTCTTCTGGCAGTGAAGCTAGATGATGGGCAGGGGAGCGGGTAAGATGCCTCACGTGTGCTCTGAGCACGCAACGAAATGACCACACACAAGATGAGCGTGGAATAAAAACTGTTGCAGCTTCACACTTAAAGCGCATTGTTCAAACAGAAAGACGCGCGAAACGAACGCATCAGTATGCACGGAAGAAGCGCGAACAGTTCCAATTGAGCACGGCGCTCTTTTTGTAAACGCGGCCATGGCAGCGAGTGAAGTGGCCTCTGTTCTCTACCAAATAGCAGGTCGATTAGCGCACACATCAATCAGGGGGGACCATGCTCCACGGAGGTGCGCACTCATCGCAAAGCGAGAGGCGACGACCTTTATAGTGCGCCCAACGCGAGTCCTTCACGCCATCTCGTTATTGACGAAGAAAGCGCGCTAGGGTTGTGGAGTTTTGAGGACCACCAGATGGTATGGTGTATATGAAATATAAATAGCTTCTCGTTAACAATCTCGACAACGTAGCCTTCGTGGGCGAGGGGTTCGCACCACGTACTCTCGTTTTTAAATACGATAGTCTTGCTTGGGGATCTTCGACGCAACCATTTTGGCCTGCCTGCCTGCCTGCCTGCCTGCCTGCCAGCCTTTCTGCCTGCCAGCCTTTCTGCCTGCCTGCCTGCCTGCCTGCCTGCCTGTCTGCCTGCCTGCCTGCCTGTCTGTCTGTCTGTCTGTCTGTCTGTCTGTCTGTCTGTCTGTCTGTCTGTCTGTCTGTCTGTCTGTCTGTCTGTCCGTCCGTCCGTCCGTCCGTCCGTCCGTCCGTCCGTCCGTCCGTCCGTCCGTCTGTCTGTTTGTCCACTGTTAACGGCACCAAGTATTTGAAATGGCTGACTCCATCCGCAGCGCCCACCAATGTTGCCGGAGATTTAGCGTTAATACTTGTGCAATTGTCATAAAAACTATCATTGCACATGTCTGCGGCGCCATAACAACACGTATATATTCTGCATGTGCGTCGTTTACTAGAAAAGGCATACATAAGCAATTTTAAAGACCGTAGCGCTTATCACGCTGCGCTGACCATGCAACGCTGCCAGGAAAGGGTGAGTGTTTGCAACGCTTTGCTAAGACAAGACGGTGGTGGCACCTACCAGTAGCCTTGCGTTCTACACCTTATTACCTCTGAGACCGGTGCGCACATCCGTCTCAGAGCCACGCACTTTGTTTTCCAAGAAAACTGCCAGATGGCACTCATGTCTCACGTGTGACGTGACTTGATGCGCTAGTTTGCCTCCGCTCCGCGCTCGAGGCACTCTAAGGCAGCGCCTCCAGGATACCATTGACCGATTTTCTTTCACAAAGTATCAAATAAATCTTTTGTTCACTCTCTCCACACGCAACACTATGGTCTTTTGACGACATTTGCTGATTAACATGCCGATTCGGGGCCATTTTTTTCTGTGATTTTCATATCTGTGACGTAAATACTCCAGCGGAGTTTTGGTGGACCCCGGCATGAAACCCTTTCGCGTAAATGAAAGTGAGGTATTGATAGTCGAGCCTGCCACGCTGAAAGAACAAGAACGTATTCATCTGAACGAGCCGTTTGCATGCTTTTCTCTATGTAGTGATTGCGAGCATCTAGCTCGCCCAACTTGACCCAGAGTTCGTGTCCATTCTCTCACGTCTGCTGCGCATTTTTTTAAACTCTTTGCAGCCTGTAACGTAATGCTGCTTCCGCTGTCAGACAGCCCCATTTACACGCTACGCAACTACGGCCGACGACTGAACTGCAGTGCCGCATTCATCTACCCCATGAACTTTCGTATCCTCGCCACCAGCATCGGCTCGCAGTCGCTCCACGGAACCGGAAACGTCGAGTTCGAGACAGGGCTCATCACAAAGGTAAAGCTTGAGCTAACAATAATAATAATAATAATATTAATAATAATAATAATATTAATAATAATAATAATAATAATAATAATAATAATAATAATAATAATAATAATAATATTGCTATATGGTGTGGGGTTTTGTGTGCTAAACCACAATAGGATTGGGAAAGCATTTTTGAAGGCTTCGAAAATTTGAATAAACTGATGGCCTTAAACGTTCCATGACCTCCGAGAAGTGCACACAGCATCGTAGCACTTAGCCTCCATTAAGTTAGACCATCACGACTGGGATTGATCCCACGACTTGGTGGACAGTATCCCAGCACCAGCAACCGCTTTGATACCGAGGCTAGCTCACGAGCCAGTACGGTCACTCTGAACTTGAATGTCGTATAGGCATTTGTTACTGTCCTCACTGGCAGACGGCCCTTATGTGTTAACATAAAACCACTAACTATAGCTTCATCTGCACAGTTGTTTTGGAATTAATGAAATGGAGAGCACATAATAAAACTTTTTTCTGCCTTGTATTGATGGGATGTGGGGCCAGTCAAACTGAGTTTTTTATCGCAGCTTTTTTCCCGCACTCCACGCCACACATTGTATGGTGTAACACTGTGGGGAAGTAAACTTCAACTTCAACTTGAAATGGCAGTCAGAAAAAGATTTTTATGAAGTTTAAACAGATAGAATAATATTCTCACACGATATTTTCGTAAACTACTTTCAAGGAATTCTCAAAATACAATAATGATGTGAAATAGAATAATGATTTTTCAATATTTCACGCCGAAGCAAGAGCTCAAGCCCGTCAGTAGTAATTGGAGAAGGTTGAAGTATTACTTTCTTTTTATTTGGGTGGTTGCGCAGTGCTAAAAAAATTTCAACCTGCAAAAATTGTATTTTTGGACTTCTTATGTTGCTTTTCTTTTTTCTTTAGTTTTCCTCGCTGTTGAAGCACTTTCCCGTGGACATGAATAGTATTTTTGTTTTCGGTATAGGTGAGGCGTTTACCTAAGCAGCTGAGATTTCGTGTTTTCGTTTTCCACACTTTGCTTTGGTTTAAAAAAGTTATTCACTAAATATCGAGGGCTGTGGACACCTCTTAATTAAGTGGTCATTGAGCTTTCACATCAATTCTTGAGATTCCATGAACTCTTTGCTCTTCCACTCAACAAATAGAATCAAAACAAGTGTTCTTATTCTAAGAAGCCTACTCTGGCAACATTCCTCCCAGTATGCGATATGTAATTGAGATCGGAAAGCATATCCAACAACTCGCATAACTTCGAAGAATGTGTCTGTAAACATGTACCCTGGAGAAATAACACTGCGCACTCTCACATGAACCTAATAAAAAGTTAGTTACGCAAAGCTAACAGGTTGCTACCACTTCTGGACGGTTACCAAGTGTTTACTATCCGTTTATTGCCTCTAGTAACTATCTAGTGGCTACATTCAAAGAGGCTCTGAGGTTGTTTCTGAAGCACCAGGTATTCGCTAAGCTTGTTAGGTTTTCCGTACTCGAAATTACAAAAAAAAACAACTGAACATTGTTGGGTACAATAAATGTTTTTTGTTTTAAGAATGCTGAGAACAATGCTTTTCGTTTTATGTGTTTGTAGTTTAGGAAAAGTTAGCTTCAAAACTTTCCCTGCATGTCATAATAAAACTGAAGGCATGGTCCACAGCAAGGCGCACATGTCGTGGTAAGATTAGGAATACCCAGAAATCCAACGTCGAAAGAAGAGCACAGGGTAAGAGAAAGCAGAAAAATAAAGGGAAACCAAAACGGCACTCTTTTTCCTATATACTGTGGCAGCAATCTTCGCTCCAGTGAATGTTCTCAATAAGTTACGAATGACGCCCGCTCAGACGCCCTTTCAGCCAATTGGCGCGTGTCGGCGGCTTTGGCATTCCCAGATCTGGCGCCGACATCCCATAGAAACCAAGGAGAAATAATGGTTGTATATAGGGGGATTCGCTCAGAAGGCGGCTCCTTATCCGTGCTTACCTCCGTTAGCCCCCGCTTTATTTTCTCGATCCCCTGCCTGGGCACAACCAATCACTGTTTACCCGCACCTGTTAGTCGCGCCACCTGGAAACAGGTGGCCCTCTTCTATGCGCAATCTTTTCTTTCGCGTCATTTCTGACCGCGTCTGTAGAACCTCATCCACGCGACGATGGTGCCTGTGAAAGCGGCCTCTGCATTCTTCGGTGTTTCGGAGTGATCAGATTGGGGAGTTCGAGGAAAATTGCGTTAACCCTTCGATCGGATCTTCGATTCGGGGTCCGCTGTGCTTCCTGGCCTGTGTGCCCGCTAATTGGTGCCGGCAAGTGGCACTGATCCGTGCACGCAGAGCCACTGTAGATACGACGTAACCCAAACACCAGATTTTTGTTGTTGTGAAAGTGGAGTTTGTGCGTTCGCAGCGTGAAAATGGTGCTTTGAAATAGGTAATTAGTATTGGCAATCATCGCCCAATCTCGTGTAAATTTCTTTCGGCAATAATTTTTTCAAGAGCTCCTGAATAAGGCATAAGTGACAATATTTCAGTTTATGCAGTCGGTAATTGTGAATTCTGTTACGTTCACTACTTGATTTCGAGCGTGTGTACATAGATATATTATTTTCTTTGGCTTATAAATTACTATATAATCGATCAAAACTAACAGACAATATTGCTACGGAAAGTACGGGGATGTTATTAGGAGTAACTGCAATGTAAATGTAAAGGTGAAGAAAGAAAAGTGGACGAAAAGGCAACTAGCCACTGGTGGAATCCAAACCTGCGACCTTCCAATAACGCGCCCGATGCTCTACCACCAAGGTGCGGTGCTCTACGACTGAGCCCCACTTTCCTTTGTTCCCATTTACATTACAATTGCTCATCCCCTAAACCTTCCGTGACACTTTTGTCTCTAAGTACTCATTAGTATTTTTTCTAACGAAGAAAACAAGCCCTGAAACTTACACTCTCCTTTTTAATTAATCACTGATTCTAGCACAATGTTTTTCTATGTCATGTTCCGCAAGTACAACATAAGTGACAAAAAATAAAGAAAGAGCAGTCTGTTGCTGTACCGCATCATTTTTTTTATGAATCGCCATTATGAAAAACATGAAGTAATTAAAACAAACGCACTAACGAATGCACTGAAAATCTTTGCAAACTATATGTACGAGTCACAAGCCATTTACTACACATTTAGAACATCTATCCTGCAGTAGTTGCATATATTTTTTTAATTACCATGCGGCACGTAACACCAGTAACAGCGCTACTGGAGATGGCATGCTAAATTGCGAAATGGCCGCAGAGTACAGAAAACGTGCTAGTAAAGTGTACACTGTAATACTTGAAATGCAAAATTCATGACTCCTCATGCACACTGGAAGCGCATTGGTAAAAGTTCCCTATGTGTGCTCTCATATTACCGAGCAGCTCAACATACATAATTGGCACTATCATGAAAAGAGTGCGCCCGTTGAAAATAGAGCTCAGCAGAGCCGAAAAAGTGCCTGGTGATCTGTTTTGGTGAACACCTTCAGTGTTCACTTTTACAGCAAAAATATCTTCCGGGCACCTTCTCATAGCCCTAAACAGCTAACAATTGGTACATTTGAGAGCTTCTAGAAGATTGTCGAGGTTGAGAGCGTGTGTGTACGCGGTGAATGTGTGTACGTGTGTCATTGAAGCTCACGTAATCGATTCTATAGAGTACCGCAAGTTGCTTCATTACCCGATGCTGTTATGTAAAAGGATGGAGACACACAAGGGATTACAGGCTCACGTAGCGCTTAAAAAGTGTACGCATTGAAGATTCATGCGACAGGAAATCCCAGCCTGTCATCCCCACGTTCACCGTGTGGCAATACCCTGGCTTAATGACTTAGCTCATTAAAAGGTCGTTAATACAGGAGGGGGGATACAAACCGATCATCGGTAGTACAACGCCGGTGTAATGATGGAAACGCACAATGAACGTATTCTTCGGGGATGCACGAGGAGGTGCGCGCTTTGCATAAAGCATGATTTTGGATTGCCAAGAATTTTCCATCGCTTTCCAGTAGGCCGCCTGCTTCAGGTTTCGTAAATTAAATTTATTGTGTGGACAAATAAGGCACAGCTTTTCACATTTCACAACGGCGCGCTCCTAAATGAACTGATGCCTCCAAACTAAAGTCTCTTCATTAACTGAGCAGGCCAATCATTAGTTCCAGTGAGAGCAGTGAACTGTCGTATGCGAAGGTATTCTCGGTTAGGTGGCGCTATATAGGACGTCGCTTACGAAGAAAAATCACAGTGATTATCTGGAATCTATTTGAGATGTACCGTGATTTTTTTTTTTTGCACAGCTCGTTTTTGCTGATTGTGTGGACATGTATATTTATATCCCTGAACGAGGAAGATGCATTGAGCTTCCTCTGAATCAACATCCGGTGTAATAAACGTAAATTCAAATGGCTCTATATTGCAGTCTACTTTTGCACATGACAAGTCCCCCGATGGCAAACCATGTTGCATGAGTCGTAGTGCACGTCACTTTTCGTGAGGCACATAAAAAGTATACTTTTGCTTTGCTCGAAATGATTATCTCGCAAGACGAAATTTCACTATATCTTTTTAGCTTGAGCTTTGAATCAAATTGTACAAGAACTGGACATAAATGAGATCAGTATATACAGATATTTATACATTTATTTAAAGTAATTCTTTCAGAAGACGTAACTAAGTGTATTCAGGCATTATTTTTGTTCAAGTAGAACATTGAATGCCTAGAAATTATGTATATTTTGAATTCACTCACAAACAGTTCTCCATAAATCACGTATAAAAAGTTAAATATCGCATTTCTGGCCACATCCATACAAAGACAACGCTAAAGGTTTTTATTCTTTGTTTCGGTGTCGTCATTTGTGTGTGGTTCCGCCTCTTAGGAATGCAGCATATGTGAGTATTTCCACGATGTGTTTAGTTTGCGTTCATCTCTACACAGTGCAGGAAACGCGGCGTGCGAGATTACGCCGAATTCATGGGTGGTACTGGCCTGGGCATGGATGGCATGATGGTCATACAAGATGTATGCGGCCTTGACTCGCTTCCAAGTGAGTTATCTTGGCGATATGTCGTCGAAGTGTCTGTGTGCGTACGTTGTTTGCAGACATATTGTCTGATTTATTTATTTACTCATTGACTGACTCATTCATTCATTGGTTGATCGATTGAACAAGCTATTGATCGATTAGTTGGTCATTTAAGGAAAGGTAACTTTTCAAAGTCACTCTAATGTGGTTAGAGACACCGCGAAATGAAGTTATGCCTATTGACATTTCGGCCATGGGGGTTTTTGTAACATGCTCTTAATCCTGATGGCGATTTGCTATGATATGATCATTTAACACACCTTAAAGTTGAGGGAGTGACCAGGGCGCACGCATAACACTAATATTAAAATATAAAACTTCCTTTTCTTTTTCACCATGCCGAATTGATTCAGTAATAGGAAATGGTAAGATGCTGTTCTTATGAATGGAGTTGAAGCTTTACTAGAGTAATTTTTTTAAAGTGCATCGCTGTAGTGGCTGTACCAGAACGTAGCAACATGTCGCCCGTAGCAAAGCTACCTCGTTGATTTTACGGAACAGCAGAGCCGCTTAGAAGGTGCCGTGGTGTCCCGCAAGGCATATCACAAATTAATTGTAATTATCAACGGTTAAACAGACACTAGATTTGAAAATCAATTACAGAGGGCATACCAAAGTTTCTATGACTGTCAAGACCAATCATGCCAGCTTGCGCCTTACTTGACCGAGCTAAACATGGTTTCGACATTGTGGTGTCATGGCGCAAATGTTTCCGTGCCATTCTTGCTTTCCACTTCACTTTATCTCGGAGAAACAAACTGAACGTGACGCTGCAAGTCGGGCAAGGTCACGCAACCCACACTGCAGTGGCAGCGGAGCCAGATTCACAGCAGACATGTTGGCAGTGCTTAATTCAAGCAATGCCCATTACCCAAATTGGTTTCTGCCGTTCTACAGGGATTACGCCGTTAGTCGGTACTCCAACTCTAGACGTAAATTAGTGCCCTAAATGTACTGATATTCGTATTCCGGAGGCACTCTACTCATTAAAGACCTTCGGTCGAGGACTTCGGAGAAGTGTCCATCTCAAGGTGGGTAATACCTGAACGATACGCACGCTAGGCCTCCAGCCCAGCGCTGCGGTTCAGTTAATGCAAGGCGTAGTTGCAACACCAGGACACGCTTCCTCGAGCCCGTTGGCATTGCTGGATTGATTGACGCGGTAGATTTCATTAAGCATGAGCTGACGTCAAGAGAGCTGGCCTAATGGACCCTTAGGCGTCACGCAAACTTGTAATGATGGTCTTTGGGGCATTTAAGTAGACGCTTCTACTTTGCGCTTTGAAGCTTCTTACTTACTCGCCCGTCTGCAATCCAAAATCTTATAGCCGCTCCCTTGCACGTTCGTGGGATTGGCCGCAGGAGTGTCGTCAATAAATGTTCGATTAAGCAACGGTCCTGGTGTCTTCTCGTAAGCGTTGGCCACAGAGGCGCGTGAAGTAGACAGTCGTGAAAACTTTTCCAGGAGCAGACGAAAGTTGATATCGCCAATTAGGCTTAGTTTGAGATCATGAGGCTGGTAAATTGAGTCTGACGAACGCAGAAGGAACACCTGTACCCAACCTGACCAACAAAAGCTGTTCGCCAGCGTAATTCACGGATAGATATGTTTACAGCTATCGACATTGTATTGACATGAAGACACGTGACCTTCTAAATTTATCTCGTACGATCACCGTTAGAGCCTTCATTTTTTTCTCTTATCAAAGATGCGCCTCTTCCTCAGATAATGTAAAATCCTTTACATTTATTGTGCATCACCAACTTCAGCAATTCTTTACATAATGACCAATGTACAGGGCTTAATGTGGGCAATTATAAATTGCCGATCTAAATGTGATATCGACATAATTATGAAACATCCTGCAGAAAAAAAGTCAAACTTGCGGATGCAGGCCTTTCATTGGTGGCCCGCGGCTTCGTATATGGAATTATTTTATGACGTTGCTAAATAAATGCATGCGTATTATTTTCTCGCTTATATCAATAAATAAGCTTAGTTCGGGTAAGCTGCAGAGACGCGTTAGTAATTAAGCATTTTTTTTTTCGTGAGGCACGCCAGTATAGGTGGTCTCTATAAGTCGAAGTATCATCGTGGAAGGAAAACATGTGTGTGTATTTGTGTCTCCGTGTGTGTGAGCGTGAAAGAGGGAAGTTCCCATTTAATAGATTGGTTTTCTTTCTTAGACCACATATATTAAGGAGATTTAAAAGAAATTAGAAGAACAAGAACAACAATAGAGAAGGCAGGGAGGTTAAGCAGACACATGCCTAGTTTGCTATCCTACGCAGTGGGAATAGGAAGGGAGAGTATAAATATGAGAAAGAAAGAGGAAGGAGAAGAGAAAGAGACAAAAAAATTGTCAGTCAATGGGCTGACGCGTATGCAGTGGTGGCATTACACAAAAGTTAAAGGCGTTCACATAGCCCTGTAGTCCTCAGAAAGAGCAAGATGGCTTCGACTGTTTTTTGAGCTGACGAAGGACGAGGACCGTGCTCGAGCAGAATCTGCACAGAGAGTGGCCAATCATGCAATAGTCCCAATGGATGATAAAAGTTGTGTCTCTCAGAGGCAAATCGAGCGAATTGGGATAGCAGATGATCGATGTCTTCTTCGGTGCCGCATACGTCGCATTACGCATTGTCGGTCAATCCAATGAGAGTTGTATATGCTTTAGTGATGGCAACCCCCAATCAAAGCCGGCAAAGAAGCGAAGCGTCACGTCGATGAATTCCAGATGGAGGTAGAAGTTCCAGTCGAGCGTTTATTTGGTGGAGCCTCGTATGTCATATGCTTGGGGTGTTCCACTCCGGCAGACACAGACTACGAGCCAGGTAATGAAGTTGCTTTGCAGCGTCTGTCCTTCACAAAGGAGTCGGAAGGGGGTGCTCTTCTTGGTGGGATGTGCGAGCCGCGTTGTCTGCGGAATCACTGCCACTGATCCCACAATGACCAGGTAGGCACTGAAAATTGACCTCGTGGCTAGCTGTTTCTGGGACATGGTGAAGGAGCTTGACAGCCTCGTACGTTAACTGCTGGTGGAAACTTCGTCGAAGAAATGACTGCATGGCTGGTAAGGCCGGTTTCGAGTCGGGAAACACGGCCCATTTTTTTATTTTCTGGGATGTTATGTACTAGGGTGCCACGCAGAGCCGCAAGTTCTGCTGCTGTATAGACGTAGTGACATGTGACAATTTGATTCGCAGGGCGATTTCTCTAGCTGGTATCACCACCACACCACCAGAAGAAGACGCTGTGGGTGAACCATCGGTGCATATATGCACGTGGTTGTTAGACATTTTGCACAAGAAGTGCAGGCTCAATTGTTTTAGGGCTGACATAGGCAAATTTGATTTTTTCTGTATTCCTGGAATCGTAAGACGTACTTGCGGAAGGACCAGGCACCACGGAGGATACAACAATTTTTCCACAGGCGTAAAACGTTGCACGATGCACACAGACAATCGCACTAAATTTCGTGCGGGGCCTCTCGGTAGCGCGGCTCACCACTTGGTGAGAAGGTTGCCTGAGGTACGTAAGCATCGTTTCAGGGGTTATATTCGTCATGATTGGGTTGTCCTGTGCAACGACAATGGTTTTAGCTATTGATGCACAGCGGGGTAAACCAAGGCATACTCTAAGAACCTGTGCTTAAATGTTTTGGAGTGTGTGCAGGTTTGTTTTTCATGGGCCAGATATTACAGGTAGGATGTACCACAGGAATGCAATAAATATTACCTTTTACAGCTGTAACATAGAGTTGACAGACGCTTCCCAAGTTTTTTCCGGCAAGGAACCTGAGCAAGTGACAAATGGCGGTCAGCCGCTTTTTCCCGTAGTTTACGTGTGGGATCCAAGACTGGTTTCAGTTGATTATGACTCCCAAAAACCTGTGACTTTAGCTGCATGACATCAATTGCCCCTTGATTGATATGCCATAAGTGGTCATTGGCTTTCTGGTGAACACCTCAACTGCACACTTCCCACTTGCGATTTCGAGCAATCATACCAAGGAAAGTATAAGGGATGTTATTTGAAGCAACCGTAATCTAAATGTTAAGAAAGAAAAGTGGGCGGAAAGATAACCTGGTGTGGGTAGGGACCGAATCTGCGACCTTCGAATAATGCGTCCGATGCTCTACCAATTGAGCTACCACGGCGGCTATCCCCCGGTCTCCTCTACGGAGTATATATGTGCACCAAACGTGAAAGCATCAGCCAGCGCCGCCAATGACAGTTGCGGCGAATGCGGAACACTATTTATCTGCCTATTTGGCGCCACGTAACACGTGAGCTGATTACAACTGGGCAGCTAACCAACAATCCCTCGTATACTACATGAAGGCACCAAGTCTGCATGAACGAGACCCTCGCTATATATAGAAGGGCGCTTCATGGGTGGATTACCCGGGCAGTATGAGTGGTTGGCTAAACAAGGACATAATGTGAACTTGATAAAATATGCAGCTATAGGAAATAACGCCTCAGAAGCCCATTTCTTTCAAATTACACTCTACTGCCATGCCTTTGAAGATCCATTCGATGATAATTCCTCACGGTGGCTTTTTATGAAAAGCAGCAACGAAGAAAACCTCACGAATACCACGAAAATTCAGCAGATCCCCCGTACCTAGGCAATCGATTTTATGCGAAGCAAGCGGGGATTTTTTATTGAGCCACATGTTATGAAATCACGATAAATATATATATATATATATATATATATATATATATATATATATATATATATATATGCATATATATATATATTGGTAGTACGCGTTGAGCGTTGAGTCCACGACGCGTTTGTTATGAAAACGAACACAGGTCAAGCACTCAGAGATCCGAATCGGAGCTATCACTAGCACGAACCACGGTCCTCTTCCTCGTCTTTTGCAGGCACTGCTAATTGCACCCTATCCTATTCATACTACGATATATATATATATATATATATATA